GGGGGTGGCCCTAGCCGCGGCCGCCAGCCGGCCCGCCGCACGTGTCAGCCGAAGTCCTTTGTGGCTCCATCCACCCTCAGTCTCGCTCGAGGGGCCGCCCGCCCGCCGGGGCGCCCGCGCTGCCGGCGGCTCCCGCTCCCAGCCGCCGCATGCCAGCGCCGCCGCGCTCAGCAGCCGCCCGCCGGGGCCCCGCGGACAGCCAGCCCGCCGCGGGGCAGCGCCGCCCGCTCTGTCGCCCGCATCCTCCGCTCTCTTCGCCGCCGACGCTGGTGACAGAGGTCCGGGGGGTTGCTGCCGATCTGCGGGGCGGAGAGCAAGCACGGGAGGTCAGCGGCGCCGGCCCCAGCGGTCCCGTCCCTCCCCGCCGCCCCGGGCTCTGCCCGCCCGACCCCGCGGTCTGCGCTGAGCTCCTGGGAGCGCCCGTCGTCCGCGTCCCCGCGGGGGTGGATCACGGCAGCGCCCCGGGAACCGCGCGTCCTTGGGGACGGCACATGGATTTACATAAGAGCTGGGGCGGCCTCGGCCAGAGCGCGACCCTTTTATTTGGCGCCGGATGCGACAGCCAAAGGTCGCCGTGCCAAGCCTTTTATTTTCCAGCCTAAAAATAAATGCGCTGAAATAAATACTCCGCTACAACTCGGCGGCCCGGGGAGAGGCGGCGGGCGGAGGGAAGGGTAACAAAGCTGGAGCCGGGCAGCGGCGGCGGGCACCCCGAGAGCCGGCACCCCGGCACCGACCCCGCCGCCCCAGCTCGCGCGGTTGCCACCCGGGACCGCCGAGGGTAAAGCATTGCCAGACATCCCTACCCCGGCAGCGGAACACGCCTTTTGCCTCCTTTGTCCGCTTTTGTCTCCCCGCCGCCTCCTGCTCGTTGCGGCCGCGCGGAGGGGCGGGCGGGGGAGGCAGCAGCACCCGGGCAACCGCGCCCCGGCGGCGGATCCCTCCCCACCCGCAGCGGCTGGGAAGCGGAGCCGGCGGGGCGCTCCCGGCCGCCGCGAAGGAGAACGACGGCGCTACTCACCGAGCGTGCGGCGCGGGGTGGGGGGGGGGCGGCCGGCCCGGGCCCTGCGCCCCCGCCCCGCCTGTCACCCAACGCCGGGTCCCCCCGGGCCGCCTCTGCCTCCCGGGCGGCGCGGCGGAGCGCAGGCGCGCCCGCGGCAGCGCCGGCCCGGGCGATACCGCCGGGCGCTCCCGTGCTCTCCAATCTCCCTTCGCCCCCGCGCGGGGAGCGACCCCGGACCCCCCGTGACGCGCACCGACAGGGCAGAGCGGCGGCCCGCAGTAACTGGGCTACACCCCCTCGCCAGAATCTCCGGAGCCCTGGCGGGAGGGTGAGCCCGGCGGCGGCACACGCTTTGGGGGGGGCTGCCCAGTCGGTGCCTTTGCTCAACCGTGGAGCTGCCGAGTACTTGCAACTTGGCCCCCGTGGTTGAGAAAGTCCGCGGAGCACCACGGTTGGCAGCCCCGGGCGGTGTTTAGGATGGTTAGGATGGTGGTGCATCGCTTTGTGTAACAGGCAATGAAATATTCGAAAGACAGGACCTCAGTTACAGCGTCTGCTGAAAAGTGAGAAGAAAGAACTAAGGGATGATTTTTTAAAATTTTTATTTTAAGAAAAATAGATAGCCGGACCACTCGATGATCCTTTTTGTCCGGGGTCTTGTGTCCAGTGTAAACCATCTCCAAAAGTGGGAAGCACACGTGAAACTTGGGAAAAGTAGTTTGGAGTTTCCTCCTCATATAGTTTCCTCCTAATCCCCTGCTCTCGGTTTGTGGAGTGTCTTGAATTGCACTGGTTTGTTTTCCTCTGAAGTCCCTTTTTTAAAGCCCTAGTACTAAGATAAGTCTAGATAATCCTGCAAATTATTATATTTGTTGTGGCTTGATAGAGGGTGAACTATTGAGGTATTCTTCTTTTTGCCCGAAGTTTTTCCATAAAATAATACCAAGGAATACACCAAAGAAGTATAATATTCTACACATTTCTGAATAACTATTGCTTTTCTGGCAGGGTAGAGGATTTAACTTTGATTTGTTTCCACTCCTTAAAAAAAGTGTTTAAGACTTACTTACCACATTTGTTTAGTTATTTATAGTCTTGATCAATAAGATAGTCTCATAGGATACCATTTTCAAATTTTATCAAGCTATTATCAAGAAGTATTTTGATAACTCTTTGTACTTGCTTGTAACTCAAACAGCTCAAACTCAACACAGCCAAAATGATAGGGTTTTTTTCCTTTGGTTTTCAACCACATTTCTGCTGTTGATAATGTGCCCCAAGTTTAGTGCTTGTCTAGGCCTGTAGTTTTAGTATTTTCTTCAATTCAGTTAGGTTTTCAAGGATTCTTGAAAAACTTTTCTCAATAATTCTTTCTTTCTACATAAGGTCCTTAACACAATTTTTTCTATTTCATCATCCCACAGCTTGTTGTTGCTGCAGCTCCTCTCTCCTTCCACTGTCAGTCCCCCATGGCCACAGCTTCCTTCACGCAGCTCTGGCACTCACCTCAGTGCTCAGTAAGCTGAATAAACTCACTGAGGCAGCAGAAAACCAATCCAAGGAAAAAAAAAAAAGAAAAACGTGTTTTGCCAGTTTTATGAGCTGATTCACTTCACCAAGGATGTGAGCACAAGAACTTGGAAAAAAAAATAAAGGGAAAAAGAGAGAGGAGGTCCACAGGGAAAGAGGAAGAGAGGATAACCCATTTCAACAAGGACAAGCTTTTAATTCAACTCAGTCATCTCACTGAGCCATCCCTAAGAACATATGTGTAATTCACCTGGTAGGCAGTATCCCATTAAACTTCATTAACTCCATTGCACTTGAACTAGTACATGAACCAATAACTGCAGTTTGTAAGTCTAGTGGATCATGTGTATGGCACCTGAGTGCTGGGTTCAGCCCTGGGTTCACGACAACACCATGCAGCACTACAGGCCTGGGCCAGAGTGGCTGGAAAGCTGCCTGATAGAAAAGGACCTGGGGGTGCTGGTTGACAGCTGGAAAAACATGAGTGGGCAGTGTGTCCATGTGGCCAAGAAGGCCAATGGCATCCTGGTTTGTATCAGGAATAGTGTGGCTAGCAGGACTAGGGCACTGATCATCCATCCCTCTGTATTCAGCACTGGTGAGTCTGCACCTCGAGTACTGGGTCTGGTTCGGGGCCCCTCACTATGAGAAAAACATTGAGGTGCTGGAGCATGTCCAGAGAAGGACAACAGATCTAGTGAAGTGTCTGGAGCACAAGTCTTATGAGAAGCAGCCGAGAGAGCTGGCAGTGTTCAGCCTGGAAAAAAGGAGGCTTAGGGGAGACCTTATGACTCTCTACAACTACCTGAAAGGAGGCTGTAGCCAGGTGGGGGTGGGTCTCTTCTCCTGAGTATCAAGTGATAGGATGAGAGGAGATGGCCTCAAGTTGCACAAGGGGAGGTTTAGACTGGATATTATGAAAAATTTCTTCTCCAAAAGGATTGTCAAGCATTGGAATAGACTGCTCAGGGAAGTGGTGGAGCCACCATTCCTGGAGGGATATAAAAGACGTGTAGATGTGGCACTTTGGGACATGGTTTCATGGTGGACTTGGCAGTGCTGGGTTAACGATTGGACTCAATGATCATAAAGTTCTTTTCCAACCTCAAAAATTCTATGATTCGGTGATTTTTACATCAGTTTTGGAATCTTTTCCTATGACAAGGATTCCTAACCATTGTTGTATAAAATCAACAACAATTTTCATGAGATTGCAGTATAACAATAGAAACACTAAAGCGTTCTCCAATCCCATGGGAAAATATAAGGGCACAGCATTCCCAGCCTTCACAACATTTGCAAACAGTACAGCCTGTAAACAGGCACAATTTCAATTCTTTCCACAATGGCAAACCTGTCAAGAGATAAAATTATTCTTAGGACTACATGAAGATGTTTGTTTTGGGAAGTTACTCCAGCTGACTACAGCTTCTAAAATGCTTGACTACCCTGCTTACTTTTGGATCTGAATAACAGGTTAGCTGAGCAACGAGAGTATTTGTAGTCTGCAGTTGGTATGAGCATCCTGCACCTTATTTATTACTCTCTTCACTTGACAAGTTAATTACAGAGGGTGCAACAATGGTACCCAAGTTCACAATAAAATACAAATATATATAAGACTTACTATGCAAACCTTCTGCTTTTAAAGTTTCACCATAGTGAATTTAAACTACATGGTATCCCTCAAGCACGAAGCAATCAATTGGCATTGCAAACCAGTCTGTTTATGGCTACAACTGCAAAAGAATATAATTCCCAATTTGCCAGATTAAGGACAAGGGCTGACATCCTATTTTTGATTTATCTGTGTTAGTGAAAGACATAAAGTCAGGACTAGTGAAATCAGGCCCTTCATCTTAAGAGTTCCTAAGTTCTCAGCTGACAACCTCCTTCCCTCATGGGCTGCCCCTGCAGTGGTGAGCGCTCGCACAGCCCTCTTGGCTGTTGTTCTTTGAGGGACACAACCTCCTGGCAGAGAAATGGTAACCATTAGCAGAGGGGAAAAGCAGGACCTTAATTCACAGCTTGGTCTCATGAGCTGATCAGTTTCAGAAGAGAAGGTAACAGAGCTATCAAGGTGCCATCTTTTTAAGATCACACTTTAGTTGGTGATAGTTTTGAGGCTTTACATGTCCTTGCTAGTTCAGGGAGCTGGTGATGTCCAGTGAGGTACCTCAGCCCAGTCTATTTCAGGCCACAGAGGAAAGAACTCAGCTGAAGGGTGGCATGAGTTTATAGCTCTGCTTTTCCTTCAGTTTTTCACGTTTCTAGCCAGGTTTTCCACTTGATGAAATGCCACGAATGCAATAAATCGACACCCTTGTCTTCTTTCCCGTTTTCCCTCATGCTGCTGCCGTTTTTGGGCAACATCTGCTCTTCATTCTCAGCCCAGTATTAATAAAGCAATAAGCAAAACAGGATGTGCATTAGGAGGCTAATGGGCTTTAGGTCCTCCTGGAGTGTGAGCATTGGGAAGCATAAAGCAAAAGGACAAGAAGTATCACTCCCCAGGGGCCCTCACCAAGCTAGTGTCCTAATGAACTCCCAAGGGCAGCTCACTGCTGAGAGAGAACAGCTCATTATTTTTATTTGAGATGTCAGAGAGAGCACTTATA